CAGCGAAAGTGTACAAGATACTTGTACACTTTCGGTGCCCACCGTGTATCGTCAATTTAAGTTAGTCTTTGTTTAAATTTTACCTTACTGATCGCCTCTCTACTCTCGAAAGATGCCCAACCCATATCCCCCTGTACTCCCCTCCCTCATTTGGTGTATTCCCATGTGCTCCCAATGCCAACCTGCCCACACTCCTTTGCTGTATCTCTAAGCCTGCCTGGATTTCTGACCTCATACACAATACCACATTCCCAAATAACTGTCCTGGCACCATGACTCCCTTCCATACACCCCTAACGACTTCATATCAATTGTAGTTCCATAGTGCCCTGTGTTTCATGCTAGCTGAATCTCGTTTCCTCCCTTCTTTATTACAATATCTTCATGGTCTTCTAAATACCGTCTTTCTTCACTTAACCATACTCCCAGATATTTGTACATTTCTACGCGTTCTATCAATGAGTCCTGTATCTCCAGGGGTTCCCCTTTCTCGTCGATGAAAACTATTATATTCGACTTGTCCCTACTAAATTTTAGTCCTAAATTGTCCCGCTCCTTGCTGCAAATCCTCATCAGTTCCTGCATTGTCTCACGACTTTCTGATACGAGTACAATGTCGCCTACATACATTAACGCTGGCAATATTTGTTTTACTTTGTGTACTTCCTCCATGTGTGTCAAGTCAAAACCTAGGTTGCACTGTTTTAACCCTTTTTCCATCTCACTGAGGTATATCATAAAGAGCAGGGGAGACTATGGGCAACCCTGTCTAAGACCTCTTTTTATTGCTGCTGGTCTTGTAGTTTCGGCTTCTCCATGTTATAACCACCCCATTCTCCGTATAAACCCGTTCTAGAAACTTAACCATGGTTTCCTCTAGTCCATATCCCTTCGGTTGGTTCCAGAATTTTTCCTGATTCACATTATCATATGCCCCTTTGATGTCTAAAAATGCTACCCATAATGGCCTTTGACTTGTCATTGCTATCTTTATGCACTGAGTGATTACGAATAAATTATCGACTAGTCGTCTATCTTTCCTGAAACCGTTTTGAAGCTCCCCCAGAATCTGCTTTCTCCTTCTCATTCATCCATTCTTCTTTTTACAATTTGCATAGCTAGTCTGTATATTGCTGAAGTTACTGTAATTGGTCCGTATGATTTGATTTTTTTTTCCCTTGCCCTTATATAATAATCTCATCCTGCTCACTTTCCAGTCACTGGGTACCTCCCCCCCTCCCCCCCCCCCCCTCCCCTTAATAAGTATCTGGACAATCACCTGCCTTAGTTTCAATTTGCTTGTTTTGCCTAGAACTTTTTATCAATCTCATTGGTATGCCGTCTAAACCTGTCGCAGTTCCAGCCGGAACCTTTCCTTCTGCTTTTTCATGAGGATGATAGTGATCAAAGGGGCCAGACTGAATTCCGGAAAGGGTCTATTGCTACCGAACTCCGCCGACATTTCGAGCTACCTAATCCAAAGGCATAATCTGAATGCGGATGGCTTCCTGATTCCGAAATGCTATGTCGTTCTCCCAGATTCACTCTAGTTAATTAAAAAAAGTGATATTCTGTTTGCTGCTGAAACCGAAACATCGTTCTCCCTAGTTTTTCCCCAGTTTTCCCCGCCGCCCAAGCGTGACGTCACTTGTCTGCAGCGGGGCGCGCGGCCGGCAATCGGGTACGCTCGCGTCCGCCTTTCTCGCGTCTAACAGCAAAAGAAACTGACCGTTCGTGCTGTTTAAAGCTGATAATTATTTATATTTGCACAAAGTATGGCCTTGGCCTACGTGCCTAACTATAAGAAAATAAAAAAATAAAAAACGGAAGCAATTGAAATTTTTTTTAAACCGTTTTTGCAACTCGCTACGCGCAAGCCGCGGCTCGCTAGTTTCGTGATATCGCCAGTAAACCCGTTCTACTTTTATTAGAAGATGGCTGGCGAAGAGTGGTCGAAGAGTCACGCAATACGCCTCGCAAGTGGGCTCATTTTCGTCTTCTGCGCATGAGAAAGGAGGCGCGAAGGCGGGAGAGGAGGTTGATGACGATTCGGGCTAAGCTCCGCCCTCGCACATGTCGGGGAGGCCGGGGGGTAAACAAACACCAGCGTCGGCCATGGCGGCCGTGCTGTAGCGGCGACCGCGAGTCTTTTGTTTATTGTAGCCCGGTTAAAATTTGCCGAGTCCATAAGATCGAGCAGCTTTGTGCCCCTTACGATTCCTCCGTCGTCTGCTAGAAGCATTTCGAAGATTCCAAGATGAAGACGACGAAGAGCATCAAAAGAAGGCGCTTGCCTAGCCTCGCGATTGAAACGCCGGTTGCGCCGGTCACTGCGAGACCGCCGCCCGATTG